ATGTGTTGCGCCTCGAAAAGCTTCAAACGCGCCGAACTCGCCCTGTGAATTCTCACTTCCATTTGCAATTTTCTTGGTTTGAAAGGGAATCGATCACTACTGGACATATACTTTGGTGCATTTTGCTTGGATGTTAGGACTGTAACTTTTTGCCAGCTAAAAGTTAAAACACTAAAAGTTAAACTTTTAGCAGGGGAGCAGAAAGCAACCGAGTATATGTTCTCATGTTTGTTTCCCCGACGAACAAACAAATATGGAAGCTCACTTGCCCACGGCAATTTATGCGTGTCTGGTTGCCATTTATCCGTCGAATCCATGCAAGTCAAAGCCGGGTGTTTGCTTGGTCGGGCGAGGGGATGGGCTTGTCTTCTGCCAACGTATGATTTCTGACACCACAAGCAAGTTTATATTATTATTTTTCAGAATCCATAAGGGGATGTGTTTTGAGTGATTCCACAATGCAGGGCAAGGACTTGGTTGTCTTTGCCTTTTAGAAACCAAAGATTTCAGAAACGAGAGAGTGCTCCTGCTTTTGCTTAGCTTATTTCAGTTGTATGCTGAGCCTTCGACCTTTTGAGGGCTCTGTTTGATGTTTTTTCAAGATTCCACAGTCGGTTAAACCTTAACCTAGCTTGTAGTTTGGATTGGTGGTTGGCGGATTTGAACCCCTGGCTTTGGTAGAGGGTAAATGGGGTTTCCCATCCCTCAACCACCGAACCACCAATCGAAACCCAAGAGGGAAGCTGAAATCATGGAAGTGCACAGCGGGCTTGGCCAACAGCCAGCCTTCAAAGACCCTGTCAGCTTCCGTTGGATCCAGAAGAGACTTGTTCCATAGAAGTCCACGACTTTTGGAGCTTTCAATGGGAAGCCAAGAAGACCTGCTTTGACTTGCATGAGTGGACACTTCGGACAGGTCCAAGGTTGAACTAGCGAACCCCCGTAGCTTTTGGGCCATCGCGTCAGATCACATTCGGGACGCCGCTACGCCATGCATGTGCCCCTGACCCGTCAGGCACGACCTCCCCTTGCAAGCTGCGGTGAAAGGAGAGCCCACGGACATTGCCCTGGAAGTGAAGGCGGCAGAACGAAACTCGGGAGGGATGGCCTTTGCATGGATACCAGAAGCAGAGAGTGCCCCGATAGAAATACCCCATATGGTCGCACATTAAGTATATGCATACAGGTGTCGTCTTGTTTGTAAGGTCTCATATTGCTTGTTGTAGGATACCCTTTTCTGGGGAACTATCACTGGCAAGCCAACGGGGAGTCACCCACTTGATGGGTCTAGAGACACCGACAAGTGGACGCCTGTAGCTGGCGCCCAAGAACCGATCTGAACATGGCATGTCGATTTCTTTAGTTCTCTGCATTCGTGACCTACCAGTTGGGACGCTCTTCAAACCAGCTCCCCTTCTGAAATGTTTGGCCTTCAGAATAAGAAAAGAACGATGGTTGAAAAGAATGGAAAAGGAATCAACCCCTGGAATCAGCCTCTCATTTTGGTTCAGGTGCTGAAGGAGCTGCCCATTGGGAGGGGGGACTGCCGCAGGCGCTGCTGACGGCCCTTTTGGAGGCTTTCGGGACGGGGGGACTGGCTGGGGGGAAGGCTGCCATGTAAAGGTCCATCTGCTTCAGAGTATGTCTCTATATGTCTCTTTACTACTCTTGGGTTGGATCTTTAGACTTTGACTTTTGGGGAAATCAAGGGGTGTTCCACTAGCCCCCCCAAAACGTTAAACTTTTTGCAGGGGGGTCAACAGCAACCAAGGTCTTATTTGCCTCTGGGTTCAAAGGCAAGCTATCACTACTGGAGGCATGTTGTGTTTCTTTTCCAGGGAAGAACAGCTAGCGGATGTAAATGAAGTCCACCTTTTGCAAGTTCCAAGTTAAAGCTACCCAAGTGGCCTCCAGCATTGGCCGTCCATGGTCGAGGCTCAGTTGCCCAAAGCGAATCGACCTGACAATTGTTGTTTGCCCTGGTTGCTTCTTCTAGTGGCATCCAAAGGTTAATCCTTTGTTTCCGGGTCCTTGAAACAAGTGAGCTTCAGACTCACTTGCGTGTCTGGACTTTCGCCACTTGCGCTGAGAACCTGGCTTTCAGAGCGGATCGGAGACAAACATCTGCGAAAATGCCGATTTCGAGGCTTCGAGTCCGGCTCCGTTAGCGCATCGCTACGGATGTTAGCGAAGAAACCTGCAAAGGAACAGCGAACCCCAGCATTTGTTCAACCATGGTTCGTGGTTGGTTTACTTGCAAGGTTGAGCGGCATCCGTAGCGCATGAAACTTGGGTTTTTTGGGTGCCATTTCCAGTTGGGATTTTACGAGAGTGGCACTCACTGGTTCAATCCAAGGCTCCCAGTACGAGCGAACATGAAGGTCCTGTACTTGGGAGAGTCGCCCCCTGTCAGTTTCAGTTGCAATCACCTTTCAAAAAGTCCCTTGACATCCCTTGACTCCACGCGTTCGCGCTTTTTGTTTGCTTGCCAAAGGAAAACCGTGAGAACGGATGACAACAACACAATCTTGAAGGACTAGCCGATTTCTGCCAAGGATACCAACAGGAAACCAAAAGCAACCACCACTCCGAGAACACGAACACATCTTGTTTCAGCGTCCGTTTTGGGACTCATTTTCGAGGGACAGGGATAGCGACTTGGGCTGAACGGGGGGAGACCTTAGTCATCGGGCTTCGATTGCGAGATGCCCTCCTGAAACCCGTTTGTTTTTGTTGTTGCTTTCTTTCAAGGGAATATAAAGGGAGATCACTCATTTTGAAAGTACTTCCGTAGCTAGAATGCAGTGTGCATTTTAGTTGGGCACCCTTTCGTGGGCATTATTTCTATAAGAGTTGTGTCTACCAAACATGTCGGAGGGTGTTCCCAATTCAACATCATACCGAAAATACCCATGTATTTAAACAATTCGTGCGTATCTCACACCCGTAAAAGACCCTTGATCCGGTGGTGGGCAGCGTCCCCTAGATTCTTCCAACTAACAGACGGCGAGCGCGAGCGCCAGGCGGGGTCCCCCGATGCTATGGCTGCTGCTGCTGGGGTCATGGCGGCCAGCACGGCTTGCAGCTCAGTCCATGGAAACCCGTAGCTCGAGAGGGATGCTGCATGGGGGACTTCCTCCAAAACGCTTGGTGGCCATGATCCGCAAATACCCTGCCCCAGGGTTCAACCGATTCCCATTAAAAGAATGGCAACGACCGAACTTGGATCATGAAATTCCTTAGGCAAATGGTGGTGATATTAGCCCCCTTATTATGGTGGCTTGGAACCTCAGGGCTAGGGTCCTCATTGACTTTTGATCCCCAAGATATGTCATTTTGACACCGCGTTTCAGCAACTCGTTTTGTGGTACGGGACTTCCGGGTTCTGAATACCAAGCCCCAGGATCTCTGGGTATAAATGTGCAGCAAAGGAGAAAAGGTCAATTGACTATGGTCTTATCTCCAAACAGGGAACATACCCTCAAAATGCAGTGGATTTTTCAATGGGTTTGTCCATTGGTTTCTCTTTGAACAACCCAGAAAGGGTTCCGTTTGAAGACGAGTACCTTCGCCCTTGGATGGTCAACCAACCTGGTCAGTAGGTTATAAGCATGGTTATAGCTGGTGTGGCCCTGGAGTGATCGTCCTTTCACAAACATAACTATAATAAGTACAAGCCTACTAAGTTGGTTGTACTTCCAAGTGACTCAATTTGACAATCGAGGTGACATGCAGAACAATAGTTATAATACTTAGAACCGACCAAGTTGGTTGAACATCCAAGTGAGTCATTTTGACATATAATATATAGTTATAATAATTGCAACATACTGAATTGGTTGACGATCCAAGCAGCCTACCATGGTTATAACCTACTTTCCAAGTTGGTTGCCCAGCCAATGCTAGTTTGGTGCCACCTTAGCTTTTTGCTCCCGAGGTCGAGCATGGCTTAAACCTGGCCAATGAGGAGGCAAAGGGGTCGGGTCTTTGTTGAGAGCATCGGTACCCTTGTTGGGGTTGGTTTAAGGCAAGACCAAGGAAAGCCAAGTGTTCGTTTGTTTTCTTTGGTTTTTGTTTGTTGGGGGGAGAGTTCCATTATTTTGAGACTAGGGAGGGAAGCCAAGGCCCCCCCCGCGGCCCGGAACAGGCTCTGAGAAGGTGCTCTTACCCTTTTGAGCGGGGAAAGGACCCCCGTGTCTCACCCTACATTTGGTTCAAGCCGGTTTTCAGCCGAAATTGATTTCAGGATCTTTTTTAAGGGGTTCCTCTGACTAGCAGGGTCCTCCAGATGCATCCCTAGCACGTCATATGGGTCAGTCTCTTTTTGAGGGGACCCCCCAAACAAAAAAGAAAAGAAAAAAAGACATGGTGGTTTTCCGCTGGTTTCCAAACAAAACAAGGCAAAAATAATACCCTCAAAGAAGACAGACCCGTATCAGTGTTTGGAGTGAGCCAACTCTGCAGCAGCTGAATACCTTTGCATGTGTTGTGCTGCAGTGTGACTTCATCGAAGGTCGGTTGCCACATCGATGCGCTTGTATTGGTATTGCCATGCAGATTACTGTCCGTGGCATCAAACAGCTTTTGTACGCCAACTCTCTCTATATCTCCCAAAAATGCGCGTCCACTTCGGCCTGGTGTTTAAAAGGAAGCCAAAAAGGATACCGCTTATTGACCCCAGAGGTTCGCCACTCAGCCGCCCAAAGAAAATCGATATTTTGAGCTGTTCATCTTGGCACGGTCCCAAAAAGGTGATCACCTTGGCTTTGGGTGTAAGTGAGTTACCCTCCTGTCCACGTCGCGGAGTCGACCACAAATTCCCTAAAACATGTCCACCGGACCCCGAGTCAGGTTCCGTGGCAACATGTGGGTATGGGTCAAAATTAAACCACCAGGGGACCGCAGGTTTTAATCCTTCTTTCCATTCAACAGGGGTCCATTTGTGGTACCTATTTTTGACCCACAGCCATGTGTGGTGAGGTAAACAAATACCTTTAGTCATGGTCAAGGTGATCTCCTTTACCCATGGTGCTGGAATGTAACAAGAAATGACACCGAACAGAACCATCGCTCGTTTCCTGTTTGCGGGGCCCCAAGCGCTTCATTTGTCCAAACACAAGTTCTTTGTGGCACCAGCGAGAAGTCTCCTCTAGAGGATGATTCCCCATTCGTTTCATGAGAAACTGGCGGTATTCCGGAGTTCTGTAGAAAGAAGGATCCCTGGAAAAAAATGGAAGCGGAAGGTGCCCCTAGATCCCCCCCCCTCCAACACCCAGTTCTTACTCGGGCTTGCCCAAGTCGCACCCGCGCAAGTAGATGAGCGGCATTCCATGGGGGAACCATTTCGGGAACCATTTTATCACTTTGGTGCCCCTCCCTTCAGGCCGAGCTCTCGGAGATCCGGAGCCTCAAGCAGCAGTTGCTGGCGCAAATGCATCCGCCCCCCGGACCGGAAGGATCCGCGGCGTTTGTTTTTTTTTTTTTTTTTAATATATATATATATATATGTGTGTTTTTCCAAAAGCAACGAAAGCAACAAAGGCAACAAAAGCAACAAAAGCAACAAAAGCAATAGGTGTTTCTTCTTTTTTTTCCGGGACGCGAGGACCCAAACACCTAAAGAGGGTTCCTGCTATGTTTGCTTCGCGCTAGTAGGTGGTTGATCAAGCCACTTATTACAACCCATGCCAAATGCGTTTGTGGTCATCCCCGCAAAACGAAAAGATCTGGACGATTAAAATCAACCACAGGTTCTGGGAAATGGACCTCTGGGTCCAAGTACCTTGCGGTTTTGGGAAAAAGGGACATAGTCCAAATTCAAGACATCCCATGCGTATGAGAGCACTTCCCTGGGGGCCCAAGACTCATTAGCTTGTCCTGCACTCTGGAAACCCTATTTGTGTGCGTGCGTGTGTGTTGTATTCTGTGTGTGGCGAGTGGCGTTTGGTGTGTGGTGTGTTGGCGTGTTTTGTGCGGCGTGTAGCGTGAATCTGTTTTTGAGGATATCTTTTTCTCCTTGGGTTAAAGGCTTTTCTCCTTGGGTCAAAGGAAAACCACAAGAAATCGACAAGAAATCCCATCTTGTTTTGTTGCTCCCCCGATCTTGCCGCATATCCATTTGCCTCTGGGTTTCAGTGGGGGTTCAAAGAAAAACATCAAGAATGGTGTCCCTTTTCAATGGTCGTTGATTCATCCGGGGCCGACATTGCATATGACAAGACCCCAACAAGGCGGAACACATAGCAAGACGTGGAGACCCATCTGGGAACATCCCCTGCTGTTTTCGGCAAAGCGATGAGGCACTGGGAGACACTGTCCGCCTCAGAGGCCGCAGCATGCGGGGGGGAGGCAAAAGAAGAAAGTTAAAACGCGGGGTTTGGTAGACCCACTATTTGAGGCCTGCTTGGTGGATGCTGCGTATTGCCAAACACTCCACATAGCTGTTTATTGTCCCTAAAGACAACTGACACTTATCAAGAACATCAACAAGGCTGCATCAACGCTATGTTTGATCCTGAACGGGAAGCCAAAGGGAGGCTGTAAAGCCTTTCTTGATGGATTCGATTTCAATTTGAGGACAGGCTCAGCAGGAAGGAGCCAACAAAAACGACTGTCAAAGGCGATTTTTCACTGGTGAATGCCTTGCAACTGTTTGACCAAACATGTAGACCAATAATGTTTCTTTGTTTCAGTGGGCAGCCCCTCTGAAACTCACAACAACCTTGGTTGTAGGTTACGCCTCGCAGAATTTGGACGCCGAAACCCCGAATTGCCTTGGCAGCCGACTTTGAAGGAAAGTCCTGGATTCCTTCTACATCTAGGTCCCCCAGTAGTGCCCTTTTACCCTTTTTTTGGGGAGGGTTCCCCTGCTAAAATCGACTACAGGAAAAAATCGGGTACCACCTTATTCTAACCTCTCCACTGGAGGACCTAGACATATTTTCTGTTCAACTGGTTCCCCTTCAGTCCTGGGTGGCGCCTGTTGGATCTCAGCGAAGTACGGTTTTGGGTTTGATGAACCCATAAGCATCTCCGGAAACCCGAGACGGTGCATTTTGGGTGGTACTTCATTGCCCCATTGCCGCACTTGCCTGAGTTGCTGGACTTCATGCTTGGGCCTTTAAGGTCTGGAACAGTTCCGTTTTTGTTCAGGAAGTGACTTCCCTACTGACCACTGCAAATGCCCTGGCATAGGCCCAACAGATCTCCGCGAGGTGCAGGTCTTGTTCCGCTCCCCCGGCGATGTGTCTGAGGCCCGGGCGGGCCGGACCGCGATCATGTCAGGGTACAAAAGGAGTTGGTCCCCTTGGTGTGTTTCCCACAAGGCATTGCCGTTTCTCGGCAAATCCCATTCAGGTGAGCCCTTCCTTTCGAAAAAAAAAAAAAAAAAAAAAAAAAAAGAGAAAAAAACAAATCAGCAACCAGCATTTTTCGTGAAGGCTGAGTTGGGAAGCACAGATGTAAGTCTTACCTTGGAGTGTCTCTTCAATTATGGAGGACGCTAGACGCATCTTGCCGGAACGGTTCATGTTGCTGAGGCCTGCAGTGAAATTTCAATTGGGTTGGGTACATGTGCCTTCCCCAAAAACACAGTCAAGTCATGTCTTCTTCAACTGGAGCAACCCTGCTCAAGACGCAAAGGAGAAGCAAAGGGACTCAAGAAGCTCGCATGCAGGTAAGCACTACAGGCAAGTTTGAAGATCATGCTTTGTATTTTTTTGTCTGTGCAACTGCAGCGAGCTCACTACCGAGCATAATGAAAGCTCGCCACTTGAATTCTGATTTCCATTGCTCAGCTTGCTGACGCCTGCCTGATATGGCTGCCGTTTTTTGTGGAAACCCTTTTTAGATTCTGTTAAAGGGGAACCAATGGAAAACAAGTGTTTTGTTTCTTCTTTTTTTGGGAGGGGTCCCCTAAAAACCGACCCTCTATGCTTGCTCGATGTTTCCAGGAAGATTCGCAGGGTGCTGAGCTGCATTTCCATGGCCCAGTCCAGTGGAAGCCTCGTTCGGTGGGATCCTCACCGAATTTTGAAGTCGAGAAGGTGCGCATGTCCTCTTTCCCGTGGCGACGGGGCCAATACGTCTACATGGCATAATAGGTGGTGAACATCCCGAATAGGCTCCATCACCTGAAAGAAAAGAAAACTCCATCAGATAGGTGTCAAAAGCTTCAGCACCTAAATAGGTGTCAAAAACTCCAGATCTCTTGAAGTCTCCCCAAGCTTCTGTTCAGTTTCCATCGGCCGAGGGCCCAGTTACCGGCGGCAGCCTCCTTCGACCAGGTAGCAGCGGCGGCGGCGCAGCATGCCCATCGCATCAAGGCCTCGTGGCTCCACTGCGGGGGGGCTTGAGGGCCAACTTAGTAAGACGTAGCCATGGTGATAAGCGTGGTTATCCTCATGTTAAGAAGGGGACGAACCCCTTACAACCACGGTTATAAGGTGACGATCATCCGAGTTACACCAGTAATAAACACAGTTGTAACCTACTTACGACGTTGGTTGAACCAGGTTGTTTGAGGGTTATTGTGTTGGTCTATTTATCGGGAAACCGTACCAGTAAAGCCGCAGCGCTGGGCTGGGGGTGGGCGAGTTTTATTTAAGCACTACAGTTTGGAGCACGCTTCTGTTCCCCTTCTGTCTCTCTCTATCTTTCTCTGTCTCTTTCTCTCTCTCTCTCGCTCTATTTTTTTTACACTCTCTCTCCCGCTCTCTCTCTCTGTCTCTTTCTCTTTCTCGTTCTCTTCCTCTTCCTCTTTATTCCTCTTTAAAAGTTCTCCTTCTCATCCTTCTCCCTTGCTCTGTCTCTCTCTATTTGCTCATTCTCCTTCTCCCTCTGTTTCTCCTTCTCTTTCCTTTTTCTGTTTTTTGTTTTCTCTTCTTTTTTATGTTCATCTTTCCCTTTCCCTTTCCCTTCGTGTGTCTCTCTCTCTCTCTCTCGCTCTGTCGCTCCCTCTCCAGCCCACGAAAATGAAACACGCTGAAACAAACACAAGTTTTAACGTTCGACCTACCGAAAGTCCGCAGTTCGAGGGGCGAAGTGAAACTCGTAAGACAATACACACGAGTGGAGAGTCAACCCACCCAAAGTGCTCAGAGGGAAGCGCGCAAGCAACGTGAAAAATGTATAAACACCTTGAGTTTTGATGGTCGACTCGGTCGACCCTCCCGGAGGAAGCTTTGACGGTTGCCAGTGCGCGCGCTGGGATGCATAGGGCCCGTCGCCCTGGAGACTAAACGCGAGACTGTCGCGACAGAGAGTGGCGGTTTGCGCACATGCCGCAGAGCCAATGCGCGCACATGCCGCAGAGTTCTTTGCTGGCTTCTATTCCCAAGCTCTCGCAATGTCCTGCTTCTTCGCAGCTTGTTCACGCGAATTGCATCTAGTCTTAAAAATAAGCGCATGCTTTCTTAGAGAGAGAGAGAGAGCTATGGAAATTCGTTCCAGTACTGCGGAAGTTCCTGCTTAACTTCCTTTTGATTGCGACAATAACCATGGTTGGAGTTTCCGTAAATGTAGATGCAGCCCCATATTTGATGAGACCAATGCTGATTTTCCTACTTTTGCTTGAGGGTCCCTTTTAAGTAGTCAATGAGTCATGCGCACCCACTCTGGTATCAGACTTATTTCTAAAAACAATGTTTTGCCAAGGCTCGAAAATGAGTTTGGGTTTCTACATTGGCTCGGCGTTCGTAATAACCTCGACTTTATCCAGTATTCCAGCCGTTATCCATGTTGCAAAACAAACCAATTTGGACGTGCTTCACTCTCGAGGTGCTGGAGGCGTTTAAGCCCGGGACGGCCTCACACCTTAGACATACCCTCATCGACCCTCACTCCCTGAATGCTCTTGTTTGAGAGCAATTTGCGTGGCAACCAAAAAGCCTGGCAATCCACTCAGATGTTGGTTTCCTTGAAATGTTTTCCTGAAATGTTTCCCTGAAATGTTTCCCTGATGGCTTGGTGCTTGGAGGTCGGGGGTTCAATCAATTTACCCTCAAGCTGCAAGGGGCTCAAGTCAGTTCCCACCAATAACCACCAAGAAATGGGTGTGGGTCAAAAATAGGGTAACCCCAAAATGGGGTGCCCTTGCAAATGGAAAAAACTGAAATCTGCGTTCCAATTCCTGGTGGTCTAATTTTGACCCATAGCCAGGGTTCAACCAGGGATTCCCAACCAAAACTTGGCAGGCCATGGTGAATCCAGGCGTTTCCCTTGCTTCATTAATTTCACCCCAGTCCCCACCAATCCAAACCACCAAGTGGGAAGCTGAGTCTCCTAGCGGATCGGTGGATTAACTGATCGCCAGGATCCGCAGGCGCTGGCGGCACTGCTGCAGGCGCTGCGATCCAATCGGGCGCAAATCGGTTGGCCTCCATTCGACATGGCCGTGTTTTGCACTGGCCCGGTCGAAGTAACCCATATATCTCACAATATATATATATATATATATATCATATGTATTATATCTATATAATATATATATATATATATATGTATGTACTGTATATACATATATATTTATACAATATATACATACGCACTATATATCGACCCGGGTTGTGTCAGTTTTTGCTGTGCGTTTTCCCGTGTTTTACTATTTTTTTGTATTCGTGCTGTTGTGGCAGAACGGGTGGGGGGAGACAAATATATGTATACACATGTATACACATGTAGTGTACGCAATGATTCCACCGTTTGCCATGTGTCTCTGGAGGCGCGTGTTGTCCTTCAAACACACGCCTTGATAGTGAGGCTTGCCGTGTTCTGCGGGTGCGCACGGCGCGCTGGCTTTGTGATCAGCTACAGCTTCCTCCTGGTCCAAAAGGCTCTCCCGTCGAAGAATGGGCTTTTTAACCCTTTCTTTTCGCGCGTAGGCAAACACCCTGCGCTATGAGGAGAACTATATACGTTATATGACGGCGAAGGCGCTCAGGTAGCCCATGGCGACCACGGATTCTGGCGCGACCTCGCCTGTTGCTGGTTCAAGAGCAAGAAAGAGCCAAAGAATCGGTTAACCGTGGCAGTCATTGCTGCGGTCTTTTTTTTTTGCATCGCTCTGCGCTCCGTGTTTTCTCGGGTTTCTCAGGACGCGATTTCTGTCGCCGCGAAGACGGCCTGGACATCGCGCAGAAGATGCGCCCCAACCATGTCTGTTTGGAGAACAAATTTCTTGTGCCGCGTGACATACTGAGCACAACGCGCTTCTCGAAGGGCGAGCCATCGTTCAGACTTTGCGGCACAAGACACGGTCAATGCAAGATTAGTAGAAAATACGCTTGCATCTTGGGGACAACCTTGGGATGACTTTGTGTTTGGACAGAGGTTGAGCTAAGAATAATTAAGCAAGTTCTGCTTCAACGCGGGTTTAGGTCGTAGACGTGACACCCTGTGAGCAGATGTCCATCAGACAGTTCCATGTAAACTACTTCCTGAACTTCATATTTTTGAGGAAGACCATCCAGGCAAAGAACGTGTGTGATGTTGCGTTGGCCATTTCCGGAAGTGAGCAGAAATGAGGCCCACCCGTGAGTTTTCATCCATGAGTCCCCATACGCCCTGCAAAAAAAAAGAAGAGCGAGAGATGGAGGCCTCGCACGCCATTCCGGAGGCGCGCTGCGCTTCGGAGCTGGGCTGGGGGTATGCATCCAGCTGTGAGCCCTCGGGCAGTCCCAACCGAGTGGTACGTCCGTCGATTTTTTTCCTTCAGGATTGGTGTCGGCCATTCTTATCTGTGTTGTTTGTGACGTCTTCAGGATGTGTGTAGGCCATTTTTATCGGTGTTGCTTGTGACGGCCACAATACCGAGACGGAATTGAAACAAGCTCGGCGGCGGACTTCCCTTACTGGAGGATCCCTTAGAAATTATAGGAATTTGCCCACGTGTTTGCTTGCTGGTGTGTTTGTTTTTTTGTGTGTGGGTGTGGGGGGGGGAGCCTTTCCCTCTTACTATATACTGTGCAAAACACATGTTCATGCCCCCGTCCGCAACGGAAGTGTCGAAGTTCGCCAAGTATTTAACTCCACATGAAAGCGGGTGGAAGCGACTCCCCAGTTTTCAAGATTGTGTTTGTTTCGTGGCCTTTTCACAGAAAAGAAACAACTGGAAGACACCTCTTTGTTCTAGGGATAGCTTGCCCATTCTAAACCCCTATGGTTTTTGCCAGAAGGGAAATGCGGCCACCAGTGGTTCAACCCGAAATTCCAGAACCATCAGTTGTTGAAAAGACATCCCTTTCAATTTTCAGCGGTTCTTTCTTGAAGGCACAAGGCTGTGTCCAGGAACTCTGGATGGTGTTCACAGAAAAAGCCAATAGGAACACAGCCCTATGTTCGGGGTTACATCAGGGGAGACATACGCAGGGGTGGGGCCACCTCCCTGCAGAAACATACGTTTGAGCCTTAGTGTTTGTAACACATCCTAGGAAACCCAAGACCATATGAGGCCTGCTGACCAAAGACCTAAAACATAAGGAAACCGCTGCAGCAGGGGACTGGGTCAACATTTGGTAATCTCTTATATTTGCGTGTTTGACCAAAAAAGCAAACAAACTGGTGAAACCCAAGTCTGCGTGTGTTGAAAGATATAAATCCAGGGAGTTTTTGGGCTTTGAACAGGGCCTGGTTAAAACCCAAAGCCCCAACGCCCCTCCACCCCCCACCCGCGGGGCCCGCGCCAGTCCCCGGAGCTGGCGTCGGCGGCCAGATCGGCCGTGCCGCCGCCTGAGGGATGTGATGGTCTCGCCTTGATGGCATCAACTGCTTCCTTTTGCTTCAGTCCTTTGGAAAAAAGAGATATATTTCCAGCAGGGAAATCCAGTCCTTTGAAAACCAACAGGAAAAAGAGCAATTAAACAAAATCTGTCCAGTGGTGAGATCGAGTCCTTTTGGAACCAACAGGGCAACAAACAGATTCTTACGCAAATGGAAGATTGTGTGAATGGTTGGCGCAAATGGGAATGTAACCATGGTGCCATTATAGAACTGTATAAAACATAGAGAACCTCCCAACAACAAGAGTGATTTTCCGTTTGGTGTCTGTGTTTTGTTATAGGTTGAGTTTGATAAGACGCGGATGCTGAGAAGATGTTGGGCGCACCCTGGGATGGATGCAAAAGGAAGCAAACACAGAATCAAGACGTGGGATGTCGATTTGCGCAAAACAACAACATTATCCGTTTGTATTTTATTTTGTTTACTGTTAGCTTATTTCCAGAAGAGCCAAACAAGGGTAAGCATATTGGTTTTCTTCCAGGGCTCGCAATACTCCATGAGGACCGTTGATCATGATGCATGTAGGAGCTGTCATCTTCAATTGAAATCAGGGAAAATCAGCAGACCCGCGGGTTGTTTTCAACGGCAGAGTCAGGTGCCATTTGTGGGCACATGTGGCGGCGATAGAATGCTATTGTTTTTTTTCTTGCTTGTAACGACTTATGTCCCGCCAAAAAAATCGCGCCGAGCTACACGGTTTGCGTTGGCTCCGAGCAAAGCAACACAAAAAGTCAGCAGTTGCAACAGGGTTCGGCTGCGCAAGCGAGTTGAGATCATGAATGCTCCAGGAATTGCAGTCGCCCCAAAAAGGCTTTCTGCCTTTGACCAGGGGCCTCAGAGAAATGACCCAACAAAAAGGCTCAAAATGGGTACCTTGGCTTTGGCCACATCAAAAGCTTTGATCAATGTCACCCTGGTATATTCCATTTGCTGAATGATATATGTGTAGTTTTCCCTTGTTGGTTCAAAATGACATGCATCACCACTGAACATGCGTTCATTTTTTCCCAGGAATCTTAAGCAAGTCGAGGGTATGTCCCACTGGGCCGCTTGCCTATTCGAGCTTAGGAAGGCGAAAACGCAGGAGATGCAGGATCCCGCTCGGCTCTCTGTGCTGGAGGCCTTTGTATGGCTTGAGTACAAGGTCCCCTCGGTCGGTACTTGGACCGTTGTAACGCGTACGCGTAGCTCCCAAAAACAAGCATGGAACCCTTTACAGGGGACTCCTCAGATTCGATGCTTGTTTTGGGAGGGTGTGGTTAAAGAGAAGCTGTCAAATACAAATACACGCAATTCCACCAGAATGTGAGCTACTCGGACCCTTTGCATTGGTGGGAAGTAGCGGTCTCACTTGCAGCGAATCGAACGGATCTGACTGTTTTGAGAGCTCTTTCGATAGACCGGCACTATGAGGATACCAGCCACTGAGCTACATTGGAAGATCTAGATCTTGTCAGCTTCCGTCCAGCTGACAAGGCTTTCGTGGTTGGATGTGGTTGTTTCGCTTGTAATTTGCAGGACATCATCCTATCAAGAACGTATTTTGGGGTTTCAGGTGTTCTGAGCCTTTTTGGCAGTGCCTTCATCCGTCTGAAGCTTCCCGCGACTCGACCGCGTGGGCCGTTTGATTCGGACTCGTGATTTGCTTGCAGGTTTGATAGGCAGGGAATGGGTTGATGGAATGACCCCAAAATCAACCATCCAACTTGCGGGTTCCTTCAAGGAATCCCAAAGCGGTTCATTCCCAACACCCGGGCTCGGTCATGCCTATCAGGCACCAGCAAGTTTGGTTTGGCTCACCAAGCGCCAACAAGTTGAATTGATTCCTCCCCCTTGCGAAGCTCAGCTTGCTCCCTTGAATGACCTGAGCGTTGTTCGGAGCACATGACTACACCACGAGGGTAGACGACTGGTGATTAAGCGGCTTCCTTTGTATCCTAGAGGGTCCAAGTACATCATATTCGTGGATTTGGGGAGATTTGTACTTTGCAATTTCCCTTTAGCCATACCCAAAACCACAAATCATAAAGAGTACTGGGCCAAGGTCTACCCACGTCTCTCCACGGTCAAAGCGCGCACACACAACCACACATTTCTGGACTGAGAAGGCATGCCTGTCGTCGCGACAGGCGGCCTTGCGGAAAGGCCCAAGCACTCTGGAACCTGAGCATCTGGAGTTGAGGGAAGGCGATTCGCCGATTCGCCGATCCGGAGACATGGTCCTCATTTGCTCGGTGTCTTCCGTTTGCGTTTCAGATTATGGGCTTGGATTTGGACGGTTTTGCTCTTACTTTTCCATTTTCCTGGATAAGCTTGAATTGGTGGCTCAGATTGGTAGTTGTGGCAGGCGAAAACCACTATCTGATTTCATCGCGTTGTTTCAGCAAGGCGTAGACAAACCTATGCAACCATGCTGGTAGAACCAAAAGTCAGTGGTTTTCATGGATTGTCTCATGCCCCCTTCAAGACAAAGGGGGTGGTCCCGACGGTGGGTTGAGCATGCTTGTTAGTGGGAGGGTTGCCATGAGCTCAGGCAGCTAAGGATAAATCGAGCTGGGGCCCCATAGTCACAGGTCAGGTCTTTGTTCTGGACCTCTTTTGTTTGAGTTGGTGAATTCTTAGCTCGGTTGCTCCAAAGAGCTTCCACTCAAAGGCCAAACATCAAACCTATTGATCTAATGTGGTGTGGCTTCCCTTTGACAAGGAGTTCTCAGATTTCGGAACGCAACAGTTTGCATGTTTTTCCCCCAAAAAACTATATCAATCAGCACCCCGATGATGTTCCCAGGCAATTTGGGTGTTAAAGTACACCACCCTACTTTCATTAGGCTCTTAATGACTATAGAAATTCAGGCCCCTTGGAGATCCCTTTCAGGTTTTGGATGTAAACGAGATATGTTGGGCATAAACGAGACATGTTGGGCACACACCCCATGGCCACATGGCGGGCAAAGCAGGCATCCAGTGCCAACAATAGTGCAAACCGGGCAAGTGGGGCATGGGTCCTGGGTCCTAGGGCGTTCCTGGAGTAGACCTTTTCCCCCCCCCCCCTCTGTGTTTTTTTTTTTTTTTTTTCCCGGGGCTACCTACTCGATCGACAAAACCGTGGAGTTCTCGACGTCGCCAGTCGACGTCGCAACCTGCGGCAGCTGGCGCCAGGCGTCCGGCGCCGGCTCTTCCGCGCCGTCTTGGACGAGGAGCCGACCTTCGATGCCCGGCCCAGTCGAGGTGCCTCCGTGTGCGTCCGATCTGGGGTCGGTGGTTGGTGTCCTTGTCGGACCAAAGGCAGACACCTCCTTGCTTGTCTTAAGCAGCTGGTTTACTGATAGGTGCAAGTGCCAGCCTGACACGGGTTCAGGCACTGGTGGGGTGACACCCCTATGTAGTGAGCAGGAGGAAACCTCCGCAGGTCACGACGCACACCAGCAAAGGCCAAATCGCACAGCACACCCCGCGCACACAACTCGCACAAAACGTGGCCAAAAGCGGGGCCAAGCAAGCAGCTGGTTTAGCTTGTTTGATGCAGTTTTCAGCTTGTCTAGCTGGTTGATACTTGTTTAAGCTTGTTATACATTGTATAAAGTGTTTGGTCACTTGTTGTTTTTGTTCCTCAAATAATTATCTTTCGATCAGCAAAATATAGACTTTGGGCAGGGGATCCTGGTGTCCTTTTGGTCTAGATTTACCACGACGTCCCTCATTTTTGGAGTCCCGTAAAAGGATTCAAGCATGTTGCAACCAATTTTGCAATGTGTCAACACGTCGAAACATACAACATGGGTCTGTTTTTTTTTGCAGGGTACCCCTTGTTTGTTGGTTTCAACTGAACACCTAAAGGAAGCCCCACCAGTTTGGGGGGTCCGACCTACAAAACGAGACGCCATGTGCACCCTCAGACCCTCAAACCCTCAGACCCTCGAACCCTCAGACCCTCGAACCCTCGGGCCCTGTTGACTCCAGGCTTCATCCGCTTTGTGGAGAAGTGCCTGGCCAAAGATCGCAGCTCGAAGGCGCGAGTGCAACGAGCTCGGGATGGCCGAAAGGCCGAGAGGTGCCAATCACCCTGAGTTGGACGTCAAATACATTGTTTTGGGAACCCATTGTTAGGGACAAAGACTTGAACATGGTCTTGTTTTGGGCAATGCACTTGTTTGGAAGTGAGTGATTGGGTTCCTTCCTTTTTTGTTGCCATCCGAAGCGGCTCTGCATTTTTGCTTGGCACCCCCCACATAGCCGTGTGACTTTGAATTTGATTTGGCAACGCCAACTCGAAAGTGGCTTGAAACATTCTCCCTTGCAGATTAAACTGGAGATTCCTGTTTGGGTCCACGTCAATCTGCAGGAGCGTAAGTCTCAAATTATGACGTCTGAAAGGTTCCCAATGAAGGTTCGCACCTGTTGGGCAAGGCGTGGCGTACAGTGAAATCCCGAAGTTTGCTGCACCACCTTTGCGTTTTCCTTGAATCATGTTGAACTTGGTGGCTCCCAGCAATCCCCTTAGCCTTTTAGCCTTTTAGTGTCTAGTGGGGATGTCCATTCAACCCACTAAAAGTTAAACTCTTAGCGGGGGATCTGAGGACAGCCCAGTGAAATGGTTGTCCAGCAACTCCGATCCTTTTAGGTTCGGGCTGGCCCGACCTGATGTTTGTTGCTGTCAGAGTCCGGTGAGCAGGGAATGACTGCATCCACGGGGGAGAACGAGCGAAAACGGGGCAAACAGAGCTCACAAGATCCCAGTTGTGAAGTTGTGGGTCAAAATCAATGGTACCATTTTGGGGTAGGTGCACCACCCATGTTAGAACCTATTTTAGTGGGGATTGGGATGTTCACTGGCAGGTGTAGCCATCCTGGACCCTGGTTCTCCGTGTTTTTCTAGAAGACTCCTCAAAAAGCAGAAGTCTCCGGATGTGTTTTCTTGCTGGTTCTCAGCCATCCCCTTAGTGTTTTCGCGTTCCATTTAATCCACAAAAAGTTAAACTCTTGGCCGGGGATCCGAGGACAGCCCAGTTTGTTCTCTGAGAAGGGGGGCTCAGGATGATTATAAGAATTATAAGAAGTAACCTTGCGTTGGTTCATCCAAGTGCCCGGTCCACGCTTCGAGGCGGAGCCAGAGAAAAAAGCGGAGCCAGAGCCGAAGCAGGCCAAGTTCCGACATGGAAACTCGGATGGGTTCTGAGGCAACCTTGATGTGGGGGTGTCCTCTCTTGAGGTATCTTTGTCTTGGGTGGTTGTAAAAGGAAACCAAAACACAACCCCTTTGATGATTCCCTGAAAAAGGCAACCCCGTATTTTGCAGGTGAAGAGGAAGCCACCCGTGAGGAGATAAATTTACTTCTTGGTACCTCTTAGCTGCGGATGGGAATGTGTACTTGACAACGTCCCTTGAAGCAGACCCAAAGCTGCAACTGGACTTTGGACGAACGCAAGCAACGCCACACACAAAAACACAGAAACTGGAGAATGACGGCTACTGTGGATGGACGAAATCCTGCACCACCTAAGAAACCCTGGAAGGATGATTCCCCGGTAAATACCAATAAACCATGGTTCCCATGGTTTCCAACTGATGCAGGATTTTGTCCATCCACAGTATGTCAGGCAGGTTCGGTGAAACAGCGTCCGTCAAGTTTCGAGCTTGAGTCCCATGAGCTTGTGCGTGTGAGACATGCGCCGTTGCAGGAGTCCCTTGAAGCCCAAGAACCTGAGGCGGGGGGCGAGGCCGTTGGTCGTACACCGGTCCGAGAAACAGGTCGAGTTGAGGCGAGTCGGGTTGAGTTGAGTTTACTGGGACCAAAATGATGTGGCCAGGTTTTGTAACGACCGAAATGAGCAACAACTAGGATCAACATGATTCAGGAACGACCAACATGAGCGGGGGCGGGCTGAAAAGATCCAAAACGGTTCAAAAACTGACACGGACCAAAATGAGTCAACACTGGGGCCAAAATGAGTGGGCTACTCATAGCCAATGTGGCTTTGCTTTGTTTTCACGGGCATCGGCTGGTGACGTGAAGGCACATCTGCTAGTGACGAGCCACAGAGGCACTCTCTCGCTTTCTGTACTTGTGGCATGCCTTGCGTTTGGATCAGGTTTCCAGATGTGATCGGCATTCAGGGACTCAGGAATGGAGTTGGCCGCAAACACCGCCTGAAACTCTAAGCTGAGGCTAAGGTTCTTCGAACAGGAGGCTACGGAAGAGTGGCCTGCTATTGAATGCGCAGACATACCCTGGTCTTTGCGCAAGGCAGGTTTAAGCAGTGATCCTCCTCGGAAGCCATAGTCATGCTAGAAGCGAAAAGCACATTGGGAATCACACCAGTTGATTTGGATCAAGACGTTCGTCTACTTTCCCTATGTAGCATGCACGGCCTATCGCGCAAGGTAAGAGGTAAGAATGGATTCCCCGAATTAGAAGAAACAAAGGCGCACTCAATTTTCCAGGAGATTTTGTGGGCAGCGCAAAAGTCGTGTGCCCTTTCCTCCTCAAAGCCATGGCAGCGTTACCGGCCGCGGGATTCCGCGCTTATGGCCCGTTCCGCGGATTTGCTCGGCGCGGGCTCAGCAGCCTGCGAATGGTGCCTCGCCAAAACAGGGCAGGAGCTCGGCGTCGAGCGGACACTCCCTGCAGTGCTATGCTCAAACTCACTCCTGGGCTGTGTACCTTTTTTTGGAAGGCCATTTTAGTAGCAAACAAGAAAACCAGTGCTTCTTCCAGGCAACCCTTGGGGTCTCCAAAATTAGTTCCGATTTTCGGGTTTCTATAAGAGAACCCGTGACCACCAACAAGAGTTGGGACTAAGCATATGGCATGAAGCTGCGAGTGGCATGATCCAATTGAGTTTTGGGTGGACGGCTGAAAGGGTATTGCGTTTGGTTTCAAAGGGAAACCACTATTTTAAAAGAGACGCACCCATGTTGTCTACATGTACACAGGACCTTGGATGTCCTTTGCCCTGTGTGCATGCTGGCAAGCGTCGTGCCCTGCCCTTCATTGGCGTTTGCAAAGGATGCCAAAGGATTGTCGGTGATTCAAGTTGCCAGTGCCGTGGATGTCCAAAGCAACCATTCCGCAACAAGGGCGTGGCTCAAAATTAAACCGGAGGGGCTACGCAGGTTTTAGTCTTTGGTTCCACTTACCAAGGTTCCATTTTGGTACCGTTTTTTTGGGCCGCAGCCACATGTCAGAAAAAGCCTGCCACCCCTCCCCCCCCCCCTCCGCAATCGCTGGCAAATGGCGGTTAGTGACGGGGGATCTACTGGCACCGCCTTTTTCGGAGGCATGGTCGGACAATGGCAAACACATTACCAGCTATATTGTGGACTTTGGAGAATTTGAAATGGCCTATCAGAGCCTTTCACCTTGGAAGTGCCTCGTGTAACTCCTTGCACAGTTCTGGATAGAGTTGGCCGTGAATTCCATTGGGGGAGACCCTCAGAGACATGTTGGTGGACAGACACTTCCATGCCGCCAACCCCAAAAGGGTGCCCTCAGAAAGACGAGCCACCCATATTTCTCAATTGCTGGGCTTTCAGAGTGACACAAGGTCCTAACACACATTCGACCCAGCCCCCTTTGGTTTCTCTTTACAAGGAAACAACCATTCGAAGCGCTGGCGGTTACCTTTCGAACCGGTCGTAGTCCAGTGTCCAACCCCAAGAAATATACCTGAAGCCCACAGCCCTTTTTCGGGCCATGTCAGTAGGTGTTTCTTCTGCCTGAACATAGTCTTCCAGAAGCCCTCCGTCAGGTTCCATGTTGCACAGGAACCTTTACAAGCTTGTTAGAACTTGGCGGCTAGCCATCCCCTTAGCCTTTTAGCTTTTTAGATCTTTTTAGTGTTTAGTGGTAGTTTCCATTTAACCCGCTAAAAGTTGAACTTTTCGGGGGGGATCTGAGGGCAGCCCAGAGAACGAAAAGCCTTTTGGGGTTTTAGGCGCTCCGCTGAGAGTCCGGACGATAAGGCAGGCGTGCCAGAGCACTTCAATGCCCCCTTCCACTTGGCGAAGGACTCTTCGGGCTCACGTGGTCTCCCGAATTGGTCGCGTATGCAGTTGTGCTTTGAACCCCGCTATGGGGCTCCCTGGGTACGTCATATTTGTTGATTTGAGGGGACTTTTACTTGACCAATTTCACTTTAGCCATCACTGCTATATGGACTGGGACTCTGTACATGGGTTTCACTCGGAGAGGAAGCCTATATTCAAGGGGGAACCCATTTCGCTTCACCAGGTGACCGAAGAAACGGTTGCTGGGCCCATGGGGAACAGGGCGACCAAGCTCACTTTTCTCGAGTTCACGGACTTTTCTCGATCGAGTCTTCATGTTTCCTATGCAGAAAATGAGTCTTGGGGAGCCAAGATGGATCCTGCGGAACGAACGGCTTGGCGCGCGGAAGCTCTTGCGGAGCATATCGCAGGCTTTGCGGCGAAGCGAACCTCCAAAAGTCGCGCAAGGTTGCGGAAGCCCTGGCTTGCAGCGATGTGGGTACACCGACCTTTGGACCTTTTGGTTCTCCCGTTGTTGGGCCCAGTTTTTGGGTCCAGGTGCCTTTCAAAGCTGAGGTTCACCAGCCCCCGAAGCTGAGGTTCACCAGCCCGCAGACCCCACCGTAGGAGCGTGGCCTCTACGAGGCGAAGGGCGTGGACCTGCAGCAGGGGCGCCCGAGAGACTGGTGCGATAGGTAGGGAATGAGGGAATGAACCGTTTTGGGATTCCCGAACAAAGGAAGCCGCAAGGGATGGTTTACTGGGTTCATTCCCTCATCCCTCAAAGGGGTGAACTTTGGGTCAATCTGTAGGACCGTACTGCACAATCAGGAAAAGTGTGAACTTTGGGTCAAGGGAACAATCAGAACAGAAGGTGCAGGTGGGTGAACCATTTGGAAGATGGAACAAGGTGAACTTTGGGTCAATCTGTAGGACCGTACTGCACAATCAGGAAAAGTGTGAACTTTGGGTCAAGGGAACAATCAGAACAGAAGGTGCAGGTGGGTGAACCATTTGGAAGATGGAACAAGGTGAACTTTGGGTCAATCTGTAGGACCGTACTGCACAATCAGGAAAAGTGTGAACTTTGGGTCAAGGGAACAATCAGAACAGAAGGTGCAGGTGGGTGAACCATTTGGAAGATGGAACAAGGTGAACTTTGGGTCAATCTGTAGGACCGTACTGCACAATCAGGAAAAGTGTGAACTTTGGGTCAAGGGAACAATCAGAACAGTAGGTGCAGGTGGGTGAACCATTTGGAAGATGGAACAAGGTGAACTTTGGGTCAATTTGGAGGACCGTACTGCACAATCAGGAAAAGTGTGAACTTTGGGTCAAGGGAACAATCAGACAGAAGGTGCAGGTGGTGTGGAAACCATTTGGAAGATGGAACAAGGTTGACTTTTGGTCAATTTGGAGGACCGTACTGCACAATCAGGAAAAGTGTGAACTTTGGGTCAAGGGAACAATCAGAACAGTAGGTGCAGGTGGGTGAACCATTTGGAAGATGGAACAAGGTGAACTTTGGGTCAATTTGGAGGACCGTTACATGCACAATCAGGAAAAGTGTGAACTTTGGGGTCACAAGGGAACAATCAGAACTGAAGGTGCAGGTGGGTGACCCATTTGGAAGATGGAACCAAGGTGAACTTTGGGTCAATTGGAGGACCCGTACCTTGCACAATCAGGAAATAAGTTAGTGTGAACTTTGGGTCAAGGGAACAATCAGAACAGAAGGTGCAGGTGGGTGAACCTTTTGGAAGATGGAACAAGGTGAACTTTGGGTCAATTTGGAGGACCGTACTGCACAATCAGGAAAAGTGTGAACTTTGGGTCAAGGGAACAATCAGAACAGAAGGTTCAGGTGGGTGAACCATTTGGAAGATGGAACAAGGTGAACTTTGGGTCAATTTGGAGGACCGTACTGCACAATCAGGAAAAGTGTGAACTTTGGGTCAAGGGAACAATCAGAACAGATGGTGCAGGTGGGTGAACCATTTGGAAGATGGAACAAGGTGAACTTTGGGTCAATTTGGAGGACCGTACTGCACAATCAGGAAAAGTGTGAACTTTGGGTCAAGGGAACAATCAGAACAGAAGGTGCAGGTGGGTGAACCATTTGGAAGATGGAACAAGGTGAACTTTGGGTCAATTTGGAGGACCGTACTGCACAATCAGGAAAAGTGTGAACTTTGGGTCAAGGGAACAATCAGAACAGAAGGTGCAGGTGGGTGAACCATTTGGAAGATGGAACAAGGTGAACTTTGGGTCAATTTGGAGGACCGTACTGCACAATCAGGAAAAGTGTGAACTTTGGGTCAAGGGAACAATCAGAACAATGCAGTGAACCAAGATGGTGTGAAACTTTGGGTCAATTTAGGACCGTACTGCACAATCAATCAGAACAGAAGGTGCAGGTGGGTGAACCATTTGGAAGATGGAACAAGGTGAACTTTGGGTCAATTTGGAGGACCGTACTGCACAATCAGGAAAAGTGTGAACTTTGGGTCAAGGGAACAATCAGAACAGAAGGTGCAGGTGGGTGAACCATTTGGAAGATGGAACAAGGTGAACTTTGGGTCAATTTGGAGGACCGTACTGCACAATCAGGAAAAAGTGTGAACTTTGGGTCAAGGGAACAATCAGAACAGAAGGTGCAGGTGGGTGAACCATTTGGAAGATGGAACAAGTGAACTTTGGGTCAATTTGGGGACCGTACTGCACAATCAGGAAAAGTGTGAACTTTGGGTCAAGGGAACAATCAGAACAGAAGGTGCAGGTGGGTGAACCATTTGGAAGATGGAACAAGGTGAACTTTGGGTCAATTTGGAGGACCGTACTGCACAATCAGGAAAAGTGTGAACTTTGGGTCAAGGGAACAATCAGAACAGAAGGTGCAGGTGGGTGAACCATTTGGAAGATGGAACAAGGTGAACTTTGGGTCAATTTGGAGGACCGTACTGCACAATCAGGAAAAGTGTGAACTTTGGGTCAAGGGAACAATCAGAACAGAAGGTGCAGGTGGGTGAACCATTTGGAAGATGGAACAAGGTGAACTTTGGGTCAATTTGGAGGACCGTTTCAATCAGGAAAAGTGTGAAACAAAGGGAACAATCAGAACAGAAGTGCAGGTGGGTGACCATTTGGAAGATGGAACAAGGTGAACTTTGGGTCAATTTGGAGGACCGTACTGCACAATCAGGAAAAGTGTGAACTTTGGGTCAAGGGAACAATCAGAACAGAAGGTGCAGGTGGGTGAACCATTTGGAAGATGGAACAAGGTGAACTTTGGGTCAATTTGGAGGACCGTACTGCACAATCAGGAAAAGTGTGAACTTTTGCATGAGTTCATGGTGCACCACAGCACAAATCGAGAAGTGTGCATTTACCGAAGCCGTGAGAGGTCAAAACAGTGTGAGAGTGCCTGTGCTCGGTGCTACGGCTTTGCATGGTAGCGGAGCACCGGTTGAGAGAAGAGGAGCGCAGCGGTGTTGTCTATCAGGGACGCGAGCTGAGTGTGCAGGAGCTGAGGTTCCGACAACACGTTGGGAACGCAGCGGCCGATCGGTTGGAGGAAGCTGAAAGGCAAGCTCGTGAGGCAAGCCGCAGAGGATCGCGATCCGGTGCAGCAGCCGACATCACCCTAAGGGGCACACCATCAACGAGGCGGAGCAAGCAGATCTGTTCAGCCTGGACGGTGTGCCGGATTTTGCTGGTGCTTTTAGTGACTGTGCTTACACTTTTGGGTCTGGACTTTGCCTGGACTATTTGGATGGCGCAGGGTAGCACAGCTGGGGATGGAACAAGCATGCAAGAGGTAGCAGATGCGCTACGTCAGATCGTCACGGAGCAGAGGGACCAGCGCGGCAGGCTTGAGGAGTTGGGTCAGGCGGTAGCTGGTACAGCTCAGGGCGTGACGGGCACTCAGGCGGTGACCGAGCAGGTGATCAATCAGGTGGTTGGACAGGTGCAAGGGGCGTTTCAACAGCAACAGACGGCAACACAAGAGCAGGTGGGTCAGATCGCTGGTGCAGTGCAATCGCTACAACAGCAGTTGGCGCAGTTGGTGCAGACAGCAGCAAATTTGACATCACCTGGGCGTGGAGGAGCTGACCACGGATCATCATCATCAGGAGGTCCGAACGGACCGCCGGGGCCACCAGGGCCGCCAGGCACACCGGGGCCGGGAACACCGGCGAGGCCTGGGTATTCTGCAGCAGCGGACGGGACAGGCGGTGTGCAGGGAGGAGGTTACAATGGTGGGCCACAACCGGACGGCAGTTTGCCGAGTGGTGGTTTGGGTACAGGTCAGCAGCCACAGATGTTTTCCCTAGGGGACGGTGCTGGAGGAGGACCCCGAACAGGTTTCAGTGCCGGTGGGGTGCATCCTGCGGTGGCATATGCATTGCAGCAGGGCGGAGTTGACGCAAGAGTTCTGGCAAAGCCGCCGTTTTTCGACCCGAGCAAGACAGACAAGGTTTCATTTCAGGATTGGTCTGAGACGATCATTACCGTCACAGATGCGCAGATTCCTGGAACATGGGAGATCTTGGAGTGGGTCGCGAACAAGCAACCGAAGGTGGCTTTGGATCAGCTCACACTTTTGGCGCAATTCCCGCACCTGGACAGGACTTTGGTGGAGTACACGGACTCGAACCTGTACGCAATGCTTACAACGTACACAGCTGGTGAAGCCCGGAGTTTGGTACGGCAAGCAAAGAGGCCGAACGGAGTGGAGGCTTTTCGCTTACTGCAAGTACGGTTCAACCCACTGACGATTGGACGGCAACGAGCTCACCTGACCAGGATCACGAATCCACCGGAATCCGTACCGCTGGCGCAATTATCTTCAGAGATCATTGCATGGGAGAACCGCATCATGGAGTATGAATCCAAGCCGGGGGCGGACGTGGTTTCAGAGTCATTGAGGATGGCAACAATTGTGGCGATGTGTCCTGCCAAGCTCAAGGAACACTTGCAGATGAATGCATCCAGGTACAGCAGATATGCCGAGATCCGGGAGGAGATTTTTACTTTTCTAGATCATGTGCACGGCATTACATCCACACCTATGGATATTGGTTCCCTGGGAAAGGCGCAGAGCAAGGGAGGTAAAGGGTGCTATGTTTGTGGCGGACCGCATTTTGCTCGTGATTGCAAAGGTAAGGGATCTGGAAAGGGCCCCAAGGGTGGTCAGGGCAAGTCGGGGAAAGGCAAAGGCTTTGGCAAAGAGGCGAAGGGCAAGAAGGGCGGCAAGGAAGGCAAGGGCAAACAGCTGGTGTGTGTGATTTGCAAGAAGAGTGGTCACACGAAGGAGACATGTTGGAATGCCCGTCCCAAGAGCCTCAATTCGGTTGATCCACAGCTGAGTCAACTGCAATCAGCCTATGCCAAGTTGGCCTTGGAGGAGTTTGCCAAGAACCAAGGTTCAGCCCCACAGTCGCCACAATCGCCAGGCGGAGGATCAACTGTGACACCATCGCAATCGGCGTCACAGGTGTTTCCTGGCACACCAATCAACTCTATGGCACCTGGATCAATTAAGACGGTGGCAGGTCTCAATATTCGCAGTTTGGGCGCACTGTCAAGGAGTTCATTTTCTGCCAATGTGCCAGGAGAACCTGTCGTGGTGAGTTTGACAAGTGGACATCTACCCCAAGGCTCATATCAGGTTTGCAGTACTATTGATTCAGGCGCAGCGGCATCTGTAGCACCTCGAAGCACTTTTCCGGATTATCCTGTCAAGGACTCGGATGAAGGGCGCGTGGATTCCTGGTATGCTACAGCCGATGGTACGCTGGTACGAGATGAAGGCCTGATTGAGCCAGTCTTCTGTTCACCGGAAGGCTATTTGAGGGTGCTGAAGTATCGGGTGGCGAATGTCAACAAGGTGCTCACTTCCGCGGCGGAGATCTGTAACAAGGGTCACCGCATTGTCCTGGAAAGTGGGGAATATCAATCGTACATCGAGGACCGATACATTGGTGAGAGGTTTGCACTACGGCAACAAGATGGTGTGTATGTGCACGACATGATCGTGATGCCCTATGCGAGTTTGGGTTTTGGCGGGCAAGCCTGCTAGCTGTAAGCCCCGGAAGTGTCTCTCAACAAGATCAACATGAAGGAGGGACACGGGAAGCTAGTGGGATCGCCGAGGAGTATGACGAGTATGAGCCAGAACGTTTTCTGGAGCCAGGTGAGGTGGAATATGAGCCTGCATTGGAATTAGAGGACATGGAGGAGATCACTCTCGGGCGTGAGAAAAATGCGGGACAGCCTAGAGGAAGCCAAGATCAGCAGCATGGAGATGTGGAGGATTGTCTGGAATCGGTGAATCCGCTCAAGGTAGCACTTCCTGATCCCAGAGAACCAACGATGGAGGAGCGTCGCGAGCACAACGTGACTCATATCCCTTTCCGATCCTGGTGCAAGCATTGTGTGAGAGGGAAGAGTTTGGGCGCGGCTCATCGGTCTGGTACGGGATCGGCGACGCGGAAGGTACCCACGATCAGCCTGGATTATTTTTATCTGGGAGATGCAGAGGACAACAGCCAGCCTAATTTGATCATGACGGACAGCTTGACCCAGAGAGTGTTCTCAATGTGTATGCCTTGCAAGGGGGTTGGCCATCAATACAACGTGATGATCGTGGAGAAATGCTGCAGAATCCTTGGGTACCCGAAGGCTGTGCTGAAGTCGGATACTGAACCTAGTATCGTGGCGCTGAGGACGGAGGTGCAGAAGAAACTTCCTCACTTGAGCGCAGAGAATGCGACAAAGGGCGAGAGTCAGAGCAATGCCCAGGCGGAGTCCATGGTGGGCAAAATTCAAGGTCAAGCGAGAACTATGAGGAGTGCTCTAGAGGCGAGCTACCAGTGCGTTTTTGGGCCGAGGCATCCGGCCTTTGCGTGGCTCATCGGGTATGCCGGTACTTTGTGGTCGAGGTTCCAGAGAGGAGTGGACGGACGCACAGGGTATGAGAGGAGCACTGGCAAGCAGTGGCGGCAAAGACTTCCACAATTTGGTGAGTGCATCTGGTATCAACCTTTGAAAGAATCAGGTACCAGGAAGAAGAAATTTGAGGGAAAGTTTGAGGATGGCGTCTTCTTGGGCATCCAGGAGAACTCGTTGCTCAAGTGGATTGGGACGCCGGAAGGAGTCACTAGAGCATGGTCCGTGAAGCTCAGGCCGGAGAGTGAGAAATGGAACTTGGAAGAGTTCAACAGTTTTGTGGGACTTCCTTGGCACTTGAAACCGAATGTGTCGAGAGACGGTTCCAGCATCATCCCCGTCATGGAAAAGGATGTGGTGGTGGAATTGCACGATCGGCCGGAACCAGAGCGGCAGGTAGTGGTAGAGAAGAGGAGCAAAGGCTATGTGCCGCGTGGAATTTACATCAGGAAGGATGAGGAATTGGCAAAGTATGGGTACACAGGTGGATGCGATGGTTGTGAGGCAGCCAAGCATGGGCTGTCGAGGAAGCAGCATAGCAATGCATGCAGAGAGAGGATCGTGAAAGCAATGGAGGAGACAGCAGAAGGTAAGGCGAGAGTTGAGCGTGCAAGACAGAGAGAGACGGCTTTCATTGTGGCCGAGCATGAGAAGATCGAGGCGACAGCAGCAACAAAGAAGAGATCAGCAGAGGATGAGAGAGTGATGGATCAAGTGTTGAAGAAAAGAGAGATTGATTTTGATTTGGATGTGCCGATTCCTGCAGCCGGTACTTCACCTGATCCTTTGCCGGTGGAGGAGTTTCCCGGTCGGGGTGACGGTGGGGGAAAGCCAGGAGAGGGCAATGATGAGGAGCCTTCCTCAAGCAGCAGACCTATGGATCTTGGGTCTTTGGCTAGAATATGCAAGAAGGACGTGGACACTTTGTCGGTGGTCTACGAAGTGAGTTCATTGGAGGCGAGAGCTTTGCTTGGTGATTTGGTGGAGGAAGAGAGATCGCTCATGCTTCAATGTGGTGCATGGGATGTCAAAGACGTGTACAATTTGGAGGTGGCAGAATTGTATTCACCCCCTCGAGTGGTTGAGGCTGGGAAACGTAGAGGATGTCTGAGTGGTGTGGCCTTCGATTTGGGGACCACAGATGAGGATGGAGTACCATGGGATTTTCGATTGCCGGAGATGAGAGAGAAGGCAGATCATGTGATAGATGTGCTTCAACCGGAGTTGCTATTGGGGTGTCCTCCGTGTCATGCTTTCAGTGCGCTTCAGTGGTTGAACCACCCTGGTATGGACGATGAAGTGGTGGACGGGCGCATGAAGGAAGCAGTTGGACATATGGATTTTTGTGCACAGCAGTACAGGAAGCAGATCGCCAGGCAGAAGTACTTCCTACACGAACACCCGAAAACTGCGAGTTCGTGGCATGTTCCGTCTATTCAGCAGTTGGCGGACGAGCCTGGTGTGATGATTGTGGATGGCGATATGTGTGCGCAGAAAATGGAGTCAACTGACCATTTGGGAACTGGGCTGGTTTTGAAGCCTACGAGGTATCTCACAAATAGCGAGGAGATCGCCAAAGAACTGGGGAAGAGGTGTTCGAATAGGGAAGTGGATGTGAAGGTTTGGCGTCGGCGTGACGAAGATGCCAAATGTTACAAAGGGCCTGGATCAGGAGGGCCTAATTGGTCACAGATCTTTCGCAGGGTGACAATGAATGCAGACACTGGCGAGACAATTGAGGATTTGCGTTGGCCTGGAGACTGTGATGGCCGTGCTTATCAGCAAAAATTGCCGGAAAGTAGTATGAACATTGAGACAATGTTTTACTACCAAGAGAATGGACCGAAGATGCACCGTCATGTGCCGCTGATGAGTGGGCGTGCATCACAAGCCCAAGTGTATCCTCGGGATATGGTGAATGGTATTATCAAGGGATTGAAGAAGCAGCTGGCGCGCAAGTATCCTTTGAATTCGCTGGATTTTGGTCCGGTCAACCAGGAACCTGACCTGGATATGAGTGCAGAGGACGACTGGCAAACTTACATTGATGAAGTTTCTGGGAAACCGTTGAACACTGCAAAGGTTACAGAGGCGCGAAATGAAGAGCTGGCCTACGCGGACAAGTACAATGTCTGGACCGAAGTGCCCACACAGGAAGCGTGGGACCGGACAGGCGCTGGACCAATTGGTACTCGCTGGATTGACATAAACAAGGGAGATGAAAGCAATACAAATTACAGAAGCAGATTTGTGGTACAAGAAATTCGCACTGGCATACAGGATGCGCTCTTCGCAGCAACACCCCCTTTGGAAAGCATCAGATTTCTTTTGTCGGTGCAGCGTTCAAGCCGGAAGAAGCTGAAGGTGATGTTCATAGACATCAAGCGAGCGCATTGGTGTGCCAAGGTGGCAAGATTGATTTATGTGCGATTGCCGCCGGAGAGACACCGCCCTGGGTTTTGTGCCAGGCTGAATCGGGCGATGTACGGCACGCGGGACGCAGCGGCGTGCTGGGAAGCAGAATTTACAGATTTCTTCAGTGGGTGCGGGTTTGCTCCGGGAATAGGCAGTCCAGTGCTTTTCTATCATGCACTGCGGGACATTCGCACTTCAATTCATGGTGATGATATTACATCTTTGGGTGAAGAGCCAGATCTTTTGTGGCTGAAGCAAAAATTGGAAGAAAGATATGAGATTAAATACGGTGGCATGCTGGGTCCGGACTCTCACGACGTGAAGGACGTCATGATCTTGAACAGGTTGGTGCATTATTCGCAGACTGGGACGACATACGAGGCGGACCCGAGGCATGTGCAGATTTTGATCAATGAGTTGAATTTGAATGAGGGTCGTGCAGTGACGACTCCAGGCACAGCCAGGACGAAGACGGGCGATGAGAAACTTTTGGTGGGCGAGCAAGTCAAACGTTTTCGCAGCCTTGCAATGAGATGCAACTACCTTGCATTGGATCGCCCAGATATTGCCTATGCAGCAAAAGAACTTGCCCGTCAGATGTCGAATGCAACTGAATGGAGTTGGGAAGGATTGAAGAGACTTGCCAGATTCTTGAAGGGCAAGCCGAGATTGATCTGGTTGTATGAAGACCAGGAAGAATGCAATGAATTTGTGATGTTTACAGACAGTGATGACGCTGGTTGCCATGAGACGCGGAAATCCACATCGTGTGGAGCTTTGATGAGAGGATCGCATCTCATCAAGTTTTACTCAAGCACGCAGAACATTCTTGCGTTGTCTTCTGGGGAGTCAGAGTTTTATGCTGGGATCAAGGCCGGGTCGGTTTTACTGGGCGCAGTTTCAATGGCAGCTGATCTTGGGATGACTGCAAAGGCCACACTGGCATTTGACGCTTCTGCAGCGAAAGCGATGCTTGCTAGGAAGGGCCATGGGAAGGCCAAGCATATCCATCGGAATTACCTGTGGTTGCAGCAGAAGGTGCAACATCGTGAGATTCACCTGCAGAAAACAGGTACGAAGGTGAACCAAGCAGACGCTGGCACTAAGTACTTGGAATGGCCGAGAATTCAAGAGCTAATGTGCACTATGAGCTTGGTGTATAGCGAAACCGAGCACAGTTTGGCCTTACACGCTTGAAACGGTGGCCGCTGAAGGTGGCCTTCACGCGACCAGGAGGGCCTGCATGAGTTCATGGTGCACCACAGCACAAATCGAGAAGTGTGCATTTACCGAAGCCGTGAGAGGTCAAAACAGTGTGAGAGTGCCTGTGCTCGGTGCTACGGCTTTGCAACTTTGGGTCAAGGGAACAATCAGAACAGAAGGTGCAGGTGGGTGAACCATTTGGAAGATGGAACAAGGTGAACTTTGGGTCAATTTGGAGGACCGTACTGCACAATCAGGAAAAGTGTGAACTTTGGGTCAAGGGGAACAATCAGAACAAGGTGAACTTTTGGTTCAATTTGGAGGACCGTACTGCACAAGCAGGAAAATTGTGACACTTTGGGTCAAGGGCAGAACAGAAGGTGCAGGTGGGGAACCATTTGGAAGATGGAACAA